TGTGGATATGTGTGAATGTACGTGTTTGTGAATGTGGATATGTGTGAATGTACGTGTTTGTGAATGTGGATATGTGTGAATGTACGTGTTTGTGAATGTGGATATGTGTGAATGTACGTGTTTGTGAATGTGGGTATGTGTGAACGTACGTGTTTTGTGAATGTGGATATGTGTAATGTACGTGTTTGTGAATGTGGATATGTGTGAACGTACGTGTTTGTGAATGTGGATATGTGTGAAGTACGTTTTGTGAATGTGGATATGTGTGAATGTACTGTTTTGTGAATGTGGATATGTGTGAACGTACTGTGTTTGTGAAGTGTGGGTATGTGTGAAATGTACGTGTTTGTGAATGTGAATATGTGTGAACGTACGTGTTTGTGAATGTGGGTATGTGTGAATGTACGTGTTTGTGAATGTGGATATGTGTGAACGTACGTGTTTGTGAATGTGGATATGTGTGAATGTACGTGTTTGTGAATGTGGATATGTGTGAATGTATGTGTTTGTGAATGTGGTATGTGTGAATGTACGTGTTTGTGAATGTGGATATGGTGTGAATGTACGTGTTTGTGAATGTGGGTATTGTGAATGTACCGTGTTTGTGAATGTGGGTATGTGTGAATGTACGTGTTTGTGGAATGTGGATATGTGTGAATGTACGTGTTTGTGAATGTGGATATGTGTGAATGTACGTGTTTGTGAAGTGGATATGTGTGAATGTACGTGTTTGTGAATGTGGATATGTGTGAATGTACGTGTTTGTGAATGTGGATATGTGTGAATGTACGTGTTTGTGATGTGGATATGTGTGAATGTACGTGTTTGTGAATGTGGATATGTGTGAATGTACGTGTTTGTGAATGTGGGTATGTGTGAATGTACGTGTTTGTGAATGTGGATATGTGTGAATGAATGAGTGCATGTTTATAAGTGGGTATTTATGTATGAGAATATTTATGAATCAGTGAATGAGTATACATTTATATGTTAGTACGTGTGTATATGTATTCGAATATATGCGAGTATACATTTAATTGTTAATACGTTAGTTACCATTTTGTCCTAGGCACATGTCGATTAGACACTAGGCCTGTTGTATATGTGTGTGCATGTGTGTGTGTGTGTATATGTGGTATGTGCGTGTTGGTGTGTGTGTGTGTGTGTGTGTGTGTGTGTGTGTGTGTGTGTGTGTGTGTGTGTGTGTGTGTGTGTGTGTGTGAAGTGTGTGTGTGAAGTGTGTATGAAGGGTGTGTGTGTGTGTGTGTGTGTGTACTCACCTATTTGTACTCACCTATTTGTGGTTGCAGGGGTCGAGTCACAGCTCCTGGCCCCGCCTCTTCGCTGATTGCTACTAGGTCCTCTCTCTCCCTGCCCATGAGCTCTATCATACCTCGCCGCTTAAAACTATGTATAGTTTCCTGCCTCCACCACATCACTTTCTAGGCTATTCCATGGCCTGACTACTCTATGACTGAAGAAATACTTCACTAACATCCCTTTGATTCATCTGAGTCTTCAACTTCCAATTGTGACCTCTTGTGTCCTGTGTCCCATCTCTGGAACATCCCGTCTTTGTCCACCTCGTCTATTCCGCGCAGTATTTTATATGTCGTTATCATGTCTCCCCTGACCCTCCTGGCCTCCAGTATCGTCAGGCCGATTTCCCTCAACCTTTCTTCATAGGACAATCCCCGTAGCTCTGGGACCAGTCTTGTTGCAAACCTTTGCACTTTCTTTAATTTCTTGACGTGCTTGACTAGGTGTGGATTCCAAACTGGTGCTGCATACTCCAGTATGGGCCTGACGTAGATGGTGTACAGTCTTAAACGAATCCTTACTGAGGTATCGGAACGTGTGTATATGCATGAGTGTATTTGTTTATGTGACAGTAAATAAGTATGTGTTTGTCCTTGAATATATGTGATCGTAGGGTTCGAGTTATAGCTCCTGTCCCTGTCTGATGTAGTAACTCAAAATATTTAATACACAGGAATTTACTGATCAAATCGTTTATATTAAATTTTCTTAAAATAAATAAAAAAACTGTATTATATCATACTTATTTTTTGTTTTCAAGTTGTTCCTGTCTGTGTTTTTTTCGTCTTCCAGGTCGTACTCAGCAACATACATCACTTCGAGTAGAAGCTTATCACACTTCACTGGTGGACTTAGTGAGTGTTAAGAGTGTCTTTCTCATCTTTTCCAGTTAATACTTGGTTTAGTATCGATGTTGTGTTAGCTTCTCTGACACACATTGCTGCTTTAATGTGCTGATGCATAGAGAAATTGAGGAATTAGTCTATTGTATCGTCAATCCAGGTCGCTGTTCAGTAATAATTTCGTGAATATGTTGGTTCTTCCGGGGTTTATCCTGTCAAGTTCTACTTTCTCTCTCTCGTCTTGCTGAACCCTGGATTGTATACAGTCACAATAACAATCTCTTCATGAACCCTGGATTGTATACAGTCACAATAACAATCTCTTCATGAACCCTGGATTGTATACAGTCACAATAACAATCTCTTCATGAACCCTGGATTGTATACAGTCACAATAACAATCTCTTCATGAACCCTGGATTGTATACAGTCACAATAACAATCTCTTCATCATCGTTCTGAATTTCTACTGTCAGATTTACAATAATTGCATTGTGGACTCATTTCTGTGGCTTAAAGTGATTTATTTACCCAAATTGCCAGCGTTCCGTATTAGTTTTTATTCTGTCTCTTATTCAAAAGAGACAGAATAAGAGAGAGTGGACGGTTTCACTACCCGGTAGTTTGGTTGTTAACGACTGCAGTGTTCTTGAGGCATATCGACCTGGAGTGGATGGCTTCACCACCCGGTAGTTCGGTTGTTAACGACTGCAGTGTTCTTGAGGCTTCACTATCCGGCAGTTTGGTTGTTAACGACTGCAGTGTTCTTGAGGCTTCACTACCCGGTAGTTTGGTTGTTAACGACTGCAGTGTTCTTGAGGCTTCACTATCCGGCAGTTTGGTTGTTAACGACTGCAGTGTTCTTGAGGCTTCACTATCCGGCAGTTTGGTTGTTAACGACTGCAGTGTTCTTGAGGCTTCACTATCCGGCAGTTTGGTTGTTAACGACTGCAGTGTTCTTGAGGCTTCACTACCCGGTAGTTTGATTGTTAACGACTGCAGTGTTCTTGAGGCTTCACTACCCGGTAGTTTGATTGTTAACGACTGCAGTGTTCTTGAGGCTTCACTACCCGGTAGTTTGATTGTTAACGACTGCAGTGTTCTTGAGGCTTCACTACCCGGTAGTTTGATTGTTAACGACTGCAGTGTTCTTGAGGCTTCACTACCCGGTAGTTTGATTGTTAACGACTGCAGTGTTCTTGAGGCTTCACTACCCGGTAGTTTGATTGTTAACGACTGCAGTGTTCTTGAGGCTTCACTAGCCGGTAGTTTGGTTGTTAACGACTGCAGTGTTCTTGAGGCTTCACTACCCGGTAGTTTGGTTGTTAACGACTGCAGTGTTCTTGAGGCTTCACTACCCGGTAGTTTGGTTGTTAACGACTGCAGTGTTCTTGAGGCTTCACTACCCGGTAGTTTGGTTGTTAACGACTGCAGTGTTCTTGAGGCTTCACTACCCGGTAGTTTGGTTGTTAACGACTGCAGTGTTCTTGAGGCTTCACTACCCGGTAGTTTGGTTGTTAACGACTGCAGTGTTCTTGAGGCTTCACTACCCGGTAGTTTGGTTGTTAACGACTGCAGTGTTCTTGAGGCTTCACTACCCGGTAGTTTGGTTGTTAACGACTGCAGTGTTCTTGAGGCTTCACTACCCGTAGTTTGGTTGTTAACGACTGCAGTGTTCTTGAGGCTTCACTACCCGGTAGTTTGGTTGTTAACGACTGCAGTGTTCTTGAGGCTTCACTACCCGGTAGTTTGGTTGTTAACGACTGCAGTGTTCTTGAGGCTTCACTACCCGGTAGTTTGGTTGTTAACGACTGCAGTGTTCTTGAGGCTTCACTACCCGGTAGTTTGGTTGTTAACGACTGCAGTGTTCTTGAGGCTTCACTACCCGGTAGTTTGATTGTTAACGACTGCAGTGTTCTTGAGGCTTCACTACCCGGTAGTTTGGTTGTTAAACGACTGCAGTGTTCTTGAGGCTTCACTACCGGTAGTTTGATTGTTAACGACTGCAGTGTTCTTGAGGCTTCACTACCCGGTAGTTTGGTTGTTAACGACTGCAGTGTTCTTGAGGCTTCACTACCCGGTAGTTTGATTGTTAACGACTGCAGTGTTCTTGAGGCTTCACTACCCGGTAGTTTGGTTGTTAACGACTGCAGTGTTCTTGAGGCTTCACTACCCGGTAGTTTGATTGTTAACGACTGCAGTGTTCTTGAGGCTTCACTACCCGGTAGTTTGATTGTTAACGACTGCAGTGTTCTTGAGGCTTCACTACCCGGTAGTTTGATTGTTAACGACTGCAGTGTTCTTGAGGCTTCACTACCCGGTAGTTTGATTGTTAACGACTGCAGTGTTCTTGAGGCTTCACTACCCGGTAGTTTGATTGTTAACGACTGCAGTGTTCTTGAGGCTTCACTACCCGTAGTTTGATTGTTAACGACTGCAGTGTTCTTGAGGCTTCACTACCCGGTAGTTTGATTGTTAACGACTGCAGTGTTCTTGAGGCTTCACTACCCAGCCAGATACAGCGATTGATAAACAAGGAGGTGACCGTTCGTCATTGTAGGAGCTGCCAGATATCACCGGCTCTTCAACACGCAAGTTATACTTTTGTATCAGTCAAATCACATATTACTCGGGTAGATAATTTCCAGTAGATCCTTCATGTGTTAGCTCAAATCACCGACCAGTATGTTTTAAATAAGTGACCCACTGATCAGAGCAGATCGCCTGGCCCGAACCCTTGCCTGGTCCGAACCCTTGACTGGTCCGAACCCGGGACTGGTTTCAAACAGTTTCGTTGGACAATAAAGCAGACTGTAAACGGATGGGTTGTAGGCGCCCTATAAACACAAACATTAAAAATCAGGAACGTGACGGTAAGCTGTCCAATATACAAAAAGAGTTAGAAACAGAAATACAAATAGCTAGAGCTTCATTTAAGGTTATTAATAGAATTTTCAAGAGGTTGCTAGTAGAATTTGCAGTAAATCAACCATTCAAATCATTATGAAGCCCTGTGTAGTCTGTGGTCAGTCAAACAAACGGGCTTCCACATGGATAAATTGTCATTTTTGTGGAAATTGGTGTCACGCCCCTTGTGCAGATATCCCAGAACTAGCTACAAGCAGTATTAAAACAGAGAAGTGTTTTTGGGTATGCTCAAATGAGGAAAATCTGTGGACTAAAATCACAAGGGTATTAAAAGAGGACAACATCAAAGCTGCTTTCATAGAAAACCTGGAAGCTTTCTACAACAGATGGAACATAAAATGTCTGGGCTGAATGGTACTGCCCTTGATACTGGCCATGTAGTCATAAACTGTAAGGCTGGAGGTGATGTCCTGGTAGTCAGTAAATGTGGGGCTGATAGTGCTGTCCTGGGAGACAGTAATGGTGAAGCTGGAGGTGCTGTCCTGGGAGACAGTAATGGTGAAGCTGGAGGTGCTGTCCTGGGAGACAGTAATGGTGAAGCTGGAAGGTGCTGTCCGGGGAGACAGAAATGGTGAAGCTGGAGATACTGTCCTGGGAGACAGAAATGGTGAAGCTGGAGGTGCTGTCCTGGGAGACAGAAATGGTGAAGCTGAGATACTCTGGAACATCTGCCTTTGTCCACCTTGTCAATTCCTTCAGTATTTTGTAATGTCGTTAATCATGTTCCCCCTCTATCTCTCCTGTCATCCAGGTGTCGTCAGGTTAAGTTGATTTCCCTTAACCTCTCCTCGTAGGACTACTCTTAGCTCTGGACTAGTCTCGTTGCAATCCTTTGCACTTCTCTAGTTTTCTTTACGTGCTTGGCTTAGGTGTGGAGTTCCAAACTGGTGCCGCATACTCCAATATGGGCTGCCTACGTCACGGTGTACAGGGTCCTGAACGAATTCCTTATTAAGATGACAGGAATGTTGTTCTGAAGGTTTGCTAGGCGCCCAATATGCTGCAGACAGTTATTTGATGATGTGCGCTGCAGGAGGATGTGCTGGGTGTTATACTCACCCACGATCTTTTTCCTTGAGTGAGGTTTGTAGTCTCTGGCCCCCTAGACTGTACTCCGTTTTTGCGGTCTTCGTTGCCCTTCCCCAATCTTTAAACCATGATTTGCATTGGTGGGATTGAACTCCAGGAGCCAATTGCTGGACCAGGTCGGCAGCCTGTCCAGAACGCTTTGTAGTTCTGCCTGGTCTTCGATCGAGTGAAATTTTCTCATCAACTTAGTCATCTGCTAACTGGGACACCTCAGAGTCTATTCTTCCGTCATGTCGTACACAAATACCAGAAACAGCAACTGTCCTAGGACTGACCCCTGTGGGACCGCTGGGTCACAGGTGGCACCAACACCCCCACCACCTCCCTGAAACATCGCCCAACCGTACCATGACTCGTCGCTCTGTCATTCCTGCACAGTATTCACAGAATCCTTTGTAGTGCACTTCCTGTTATCCCTGCTTGGCTCCTCCAGTTTTTTGCACACCAATCTCTTGTTGCGGAACTGTGTAAAACGCCTTCTTGCAGTCAAGAAAACTGTGTCAAACAATCGCCATCTCCACATCTCCTCGTCGTCTCTATAGATGATCTATGTGCAACTGCTGGCCATCCTACCATGTCCATCTCATGACTCATCCTCTGCTGGCTAGTACTGCTTTGTGTACAACCATGGATAGATCCGACGACTCCCGCAGTCGTTAGCCTTTATGTGTGACACAGTGGATTTCCCCTGCTGTTGATGAGGATCCTCTATTCAACTCCATGTCTAGGTGTTTCGCAGTTGACCACTCTGCTTACATCACTGTCTATATTCTAGTTCGTGTTCCATGCACTTAGCCTGACATACTTAATCATTCACTGTGATCTCTCATCTTGTGTCACTCGATGACTTTTGCTGCCTTACTTTAATGTCTCACTGCAGTACACGTGTACTGCCTGGTTTCTTGATAAAGTTTAGATATGGGCTATTCTGTATACATTTTGCTGTCCTTCTTTTCATTTGAAACGTCAATGCAATCTGTACCTGCTTACGCATGGTGCTGTATGTCCATGTTATTTCTCGTTACAGGTCAATGTTGTTTCAGGTGGTTTCAGCATCAGATAATGCGTCATCTGAGTCATTGTTACTCTCCGACTTCGTCTCAGGAGAGTACTCCTCATGCATAGGCGACCTGATGCTGATCTTCCGCGCTCCCTCCATATAGCTATTCCCTGATAGGGAGTATCCATGTAGCTATCTACTTCGAGCGCCATCATGCCTTTGACACTTGGTATCCTCTAGCTGTCACTTTGTGTCAGGCACATTGCGCTGTCTCTACGACATATCGGTCTCGACGGTATTGTGATGCCGCTGCACATCTGCTCGTCTTAGTCACTGGATAGTGGTCCCTTGTCGTCGTTCCACCAATGGGATACTCACATTCTATTGAGTCAATCTCTTGTTCTGTCTCCTTGAGTCTGCTCGTACCCCCCCACACCACTTCTTGCAACGGTTCATCTATTGTTCTTGTTGAGTTTCTGTCCTCTCATACTCATACGTTCTCCTACTCTGCTCTGCTTTCTGTATTGTTTACGCTTGTCTCGCATTCTTGACTTGCCTTCCTTGTTTTAAGTTCCTGCATGTGGATTACCCCTGGTTTTAAAAGACACTGTTTTCGGATGTCTGATTTGCTCTCTGTTGCTCGCTGTCGTGGCTTGTGTGCACTAGTACAGTTTCGGTTCAGTCATTATTGTTTGGCTTTGGGCCGCCCTTCTTTATCGCTGCCATATTCGTTGTAGCCTCCCGCCAGATCTCTCCTTATTCTACACTGAGGTCCTTTGCCTTCTATAATTTACTGTTATCAATTCCCTAGACACACTTGGTTAGCGCTGCCATATCCTGCGTCCTTTGGGCTTAAACCATGGCGCTCATCCTGGCTTTTTCCATCTATTCTGTTACCCTGGGTACAAACCTCTACATCGCCTCTTGCATTTGCTTGATACATATTCCTCATCTCATTATTGCGTTCACCCTGCCAGTTCTCTGTCCACCACACTGAACCCGTTCAGGAAGTTCCTCATTCCTGTGTAGTCACCTTTCACTTGTAGTTTGATTATTCGTCCTGGCTTCTGCTTTACCTCCTACTTGTAGCTCTACTGTGTATTCGAGTTTAAAACCACTTGGTCACTGAGGCCCCAAGGGGTCTTTCATATGTGATGTCCTCGATATATGCACCTACTCAAGTTGAATACTAAGGTAGCATGCTGGTTCATCCTCTCCTCTTCTCTTGTAGTGTCCTTACGTGTTGGTCATGAAGTTTTCCAGTTACCACCTCCTCATCTTAGCCCTCCATGTATCTTGGCCTCCATGCGGGTCAATTTCTCCCAAATCGATCTCCTTGTGTGTTAAAGGTCACCCATGATAAGGAGCTATGCCCTGCATGCATGTGTGTATGTGTGTGTAGTGCCTGTCCGTGTGTTTGTGTGTGTGTGTGTGTGTATGTGTGTGTGTGTGTATGTGTTGTGTGTTGTGTGTGTGTGTGTGTGTATGTGTATGTGTGTGTGTTGTACTGTGAGTGTGTGTATGTGTGGTAGTGGGTGTGTGTGGTGTTTAGTCACCTAGTTGAGTTGCGGGGGTCGAGTCCGAGATCCTGGTGTGTGTGTATGTGGTGTGAACTGTCTGTGTTGTGTGTGTGTGTGTGTGTGTGTGTTGTGTGTGTGTGTGTGTGTAGATATGTGTGGTTTTGTTTTTTTACTGTGTGGGTATGTGTGTGTGTATGTGTGTGTGTGTGTATGTGTGTGAGTGTGTGTGTGTGGTGTGTGTGTGTGTGTGTGTGTGTGTGTGTGTAGTGTATGTGTGTGTGTGTGTGTGTGTGTGTGTGTGTTAGTGTGTTGTGTGTGTGTGTGTGTGTGTGTGTGTACTCCACCTAATTGTGGCTGCAGGGGTCGAGACTCAGTTCTGGCCCCCGCCTCTTCACTGATCGCTACTAGGTCTCTCTCTCTCTGCTTCCTGAGTTTTATCATTTACCTCTTTAAAACTATGTATGGTTTCCTGCTCCACTTACTTCACTTGCTAGGCTATTCCAACTTCCTGAGACTTATGACCTGAAGAAAATCCTAACGTCCCTGTGGACTCGTCTGAGTCTTCAGCTTCCAGTTGTGACCCCTTGTTTCTGTGTCCCCTCTCTGGAACATCCTATCTCTGTCCAACTTTGTCTATTCCGCAGTATCTTGTCTGTTGTTATCATGTCTCCCCTGACTTCATGTCCTACAGTGTCGTCAGTCCGATTTCCTCAACCTTTCCTCGTACGACATTCCCTGAGCTCTGGTACTAGCCTTGTTGCAAACCTTTGCACTTTCCTAACTTCTGACGTGCTTGACCAGGTGTGGGTCCAGACTGGAGCTGCATAATCAGTATGGGCCTACATACACAGTGTACAGTGTCTTGAAACTGGATTCCGTATTAAGGTATCGGAACGCTATTCTCAGGTTTGCCAGGCGCCCGTATGCTGCAGCAAGTTATTTGGTGTTGATGTGTACCTCCGGTGACGTGCTCGGTGTTATGTCACCCCCAAGGTTCTCTCTCCCTGTGTGAAGTCTGTTAATTTTTTGTCCACCTAGCCTTACCTCTGTCTGCGGTATCTTTGCCCCCTCCCAAATCTTCATGACTTTTGCATTTGGCAGGAAATGTCCAACGAGAACGCATGTTTTGGACACTCATGTACAGCATGTCCAGGTCTCTTGCAGTCTGCCTCATCCTCATCAAACTTTAATTCTTCATCATCAGCTTCGCATCATCTGCAAAATAGTTACACTTCAGAGTCTATTCCTTTCATCAAGTCATTCGCATATATCAAAAACAGCACTGGTCCTAGAATGATCCTGTGGGACCCCGATCGTCACAGGCGCCCACTGTGAT